AGGCAGGACCCAACACCCCCGACCCCGCCACGGCCAGCAGAGACCCCCACACAAGCGAGCAGCAGGTTTCAGTAGCACAGAAGAGCTCAGCCCCCTTCAGAAGTTTATTAAAGCTCCTAAAAGCCGGTGAGATCCAGCTCCCCCCGTGCCATACAGCAGCTTTAGCGCAGGCTTCGCCCCCCACCACCAGCAGACAGGCAGAGCCGGGGCTGGTGCCCGGCCGGGTCCTCCCTGCCCCATCGTGAGAAGTCTGTCAGAGCCAGCGCTGCCCATGAACATCTTGCGGAGCCTCCAGCGAACATCTCTACCGTCATCTTCCAAGGCTCTCCGCTGGACAGCCTCCAACCGTGCAGCGCAGGGACCAGCCTGCCTCGTCCGGCGGTCCCAGTGCCACCACCTCATCTCCCTTTTGCCACACCCACGCAGGGACGAGTGGCATTTGGCCAGGCCGTGTGTGACTGGTGACAGGGACATGTGAGTGGCAGTGAAAAAAAAACGTGTTGAGGGGCAGTGAAAAGCCCCCAGCCCCTGCCATGCTCGAGGGGCTAAGCCAGAGCAAGACATCCACTGCAGACAATAAACCTTTGATCTCTGGAGGGAGGCAGGGAGGAGGCAGCTCTTGGCTTGGGGGAGTTCCCTCCCAGGGTGTCGCACCACACGGAAACACCGGAGCCCACCAGCCGGCAGCCACCCTGCACGGAGCCGTCCTCCCTCCTGGTGAGCAGGACTCCCCTGCTCGCCGACTCCTCCGCCGTTCCTAGCATTTTGGCTCTGATTTTTTTCCTCTGTCTTTTGATAGTCGACTTCATTGCATCCAAGAAGAAACCGGGAACTCTCTCTTCATTCAGCAGCTCCCTGCCAAAAAGCCAACCGGTTAACCAAGCGCCTGGCAAAGAAATCCTCTGCGACTGCGCCAGGAACGGCCTCCGATGGGCCACGGGTGGCTGCAGGGACAGGAGGGATCCTGCTCGCTGCCCCACGCCACCGCGGCAGGACTCACCGCTGGTAATAAGCCAGCTCCTCCTGCACCAGGAACAGGTTGGTCTTGAGCTCGTTCCGCTCTTGCAGGATCTGCTGCAGCTCTTCCTTGGAGAAGCAGCAGTGAGCAGGGCTCCTGCTCGCGTCCGTGTCCTGGTGCTGCGGCTCCTCTGC